AAACCTGATGCTCTGATACCAAAACTAATGCAATAGGGTTGGAACAAACTAACACAAGACAGAAAGAGAGAGGAAGAGAGAGTAGAAAGGGTAGAGAAAGAGAAAAGATAGAGAAATCCCAAGGAATCACTCCAAGGGGTCCTAGAATCACTCTAGGGTTTGTAGGAATCACTCCATACAGCAAGAGAGCTCTTAGGAAATCTTCATTCATTCATTAGCCTCAAAAAGAAGAGAATACATCTATTTATAGAGTGACTTGTGTGGCCCGAAACACTGTTCAGCATAATTACAAAAAGTGCCACTCTTTGTCTTGTGCATCAAGAAACACAATAACTTTATATCTACTAATGCAAATAAACTGAAAATTGAAAGACAAGCACTACTAAGCTATAAGAACAAGATGCTATAGCCCAAGTCCACATTGAGATGGTCAAAATGACGAAAATACCCCTGACCAGATCAGTCCAATTCCCAAGAGTCTTCTCCATGCCAAATCAGAACCTGTTTGTTGGCCTTCTTCTTACGAGAATAGGCCTTATGCATAGACCGATCCCCATCAGTCTTGTCCCCACTATATGGGGTTGGCTACATGAATCCTAATTCAAAGTTCCATTCTATTTAGTGCCATATCCATCGCTAAATTATATGCATTTAAATCATTTCTTACTAGTTCAACTCATGTCCTTAAAGCTTGTCCCTAGCTCTTCCAGCCCCTTCAACTTGCAACGAATTACTTCTCAATTTCAAAGTGTTATCATTATAATAAAAGTACTACCAAATCCAATTCTCACTGGTTCATCTCACTCCAAACTAAAACCATCAAGCTTAACTCATCCAGAATGTATGGTAGACATGATAAACAGGAAATCAAAAGAGACATCTATTTCAAAGATAACCTACCACTGAATTTGTTGAAAATAACATTTCTCATCCTTCTAATCTCTTCCTTCAAGTAAAGAAAGATGCCATAACCCTCTTTCCCTTCCCTTCAGTCACAATCCACAATATCAGTATTGTATTCATTAGCATGTTATCATAATGCATACTGCCCCCCCTCCCAAATACCCAAAGAACACTTTAAAACAGTGTCACTAGAATAGAAGTAATTTCCACATGACCCAATTTGCATGATCCATCCAGCTCCGACGAAGAATCCCATATTCCAAACAAGAAGCAGCCGGTAGGGTGTATTTATCAACC